ACCAAAGTCAAAGTGGATCAAAGATCTAAATATGAAAACAGAAACACTAAACTGCTGGGAGAGAGAATAGGTAGAACTCTTTGAAGACACTGATATAGCCAAAGACTTTATGAACAAAACCCTGATCATACAGGAACTGTCACAAAGCATCAACAACTGGGATCTCATCTTATTAAAAAGCTTTAACACAGCAAGAGAAATCACCAACAGAGTGAAGAGACAACTAATGGTATAGAAAAAAAATTTTTGAGAGCTGTTTCTAAGACAAAGGACTACTATATGGAATATATATATTCTACTATATAGAATATACTAGGCACTCAAAAAAATCCAAGCTCCCAAATGTAAAGACCCAATCCAAAACTGGGCATCTAAAATGAATAGACACTTCTTAGATGAAGAAGTAGAAACAGCCAATAAATACATTTTTAAAAAGTTCAACATCATTGGTCATTCAAGGTATGCAAATTAAAACAACACTGAGATTCCATTGTTCTCCACAAAGAATGGCTATCATCAAGAAATCAACAAATAACATGCTGGCGGAGCAGTAGGGAGAAAGAACCCTTCTCTACTGTTGGTGGGAGTGTAGACTGGTGACATCACTGTAGAAATCGGTAAAAACTAGTACTAGAGATCAAAAAACTAGTACTAGAGATCTCGTTTGACCCAGCAATTCCCCTTCTTGGTGTCTTCCCAAAAGAATTAAAAGCATCATACCACAGTGATATATAAACATGGGTTTATAGCGGCACAGTTTGTAATAGCTAAATCTTGGAAATAACTCAAATGCCCACCAACCAAAGAATGGATAAAGATGTGGTTTTCACAAGTGGTATGGAATTGGTACAACAACATACATTTTTACCTTAAATGTCCAAGCTTTCACCAATCCTGTGTAGCACACTTTTAACAGAAATAAAAATGAGCATCTAAGGGTTAGGAATAATCAACCGCCATCTACCCTAACTACCAAGGTTACATAAAAGCCTGACACACAATTTAATACTGAAACTGACTGGCATACTTACTAAAAATAGTCTTCTACCAGTATTGGGTCATCATAAGCAATATATGACCCATTCCACATCCAGTACACAGAGTCAGAGTAATGGCCCGAGACATTGCAGATCAGCTCTATCTTGGATCCTGCAAAGCAATGTATTTTTAATCAAAAGATCAATTGATTTTTATGCTGGCCTATCTATATGACTAAATGACTACTGAACAAAAGTTCTGATTAAAAGGTACAAGGAAGGAGAAAAACTGCCCTGAAACTCACCACCCGGCTGTAGCCACTACTGGGCATTTTCTCCATCTCATTCCTTACCTTTTCTGTGCACGTAAGCATCTGTGAAGGGATCTTACTGTCTGCTATTTAGGAATTGCTGTGCATTGGGAAATTCTATCTCCAAGTTTAATCCTCCAAAACCGGCTGTTTTGTGGCTGTGTAGGGTTTCATAATGTAGATATAATCTAGTAATTTTCCTATCCCCAGACACCATTTGTTTTTGATTTTTCATTATTATGGTTAGTATTCCAAAGAACACCCTTGCTGCTTACCAAGGTGTGTTTATACGTGTCCTCCAGCATTACTGTGAGGACTGAATCAAAGGAGAAACAGGCTTTAAAATCCAATCCTCGGTCACAGGAGGCTGCTCCAGTCAGCTTACTCCAAAAGAGTGTGTGCGTACTATTCCCCCCAGCCTCCCGGTGGCCGGTGGTTCTAGTTAGTCACTGCCAACTGAGAGAAGAAAAACCCTACTTAAGTTTTCACCTGTATTTCTTTTTTTAAATTGAACTGAAATCCTTGAGCAGCATACTAGGCATGTGTTCTACCACTGAGCTATACCCCCAGGCACTGCATACCTGAACTCAAGGTAAACCAACTTATGTTCTGTAAGCTTCCTCTTTGTTGGCCTTTTGCTTAACAGCTGTTCCTGCTGTGTACCCACTATTTCATCGCATTCGCATAGCGACCCCACGGATCTACACTCTTTACTCATCAAGGGTATTAACTATTATGTGCAAAAAATGTTCCAAATACTTTTCCAGAAGACATGATTTGATTTACTTTAGTGTATGAAAATTTTTGATACAGATCTTTCTTCTTTCCCATTGCTTAAAGCTTTTCCTTATTTTATCTCTTCACTACATTTTCTCCAAAAAACCTTTTATTAGGAACATTCCTTTTAAATGAACAGTATGTTCATTGTCTCATTGTTTTGATAGTTTTCATTCTTTATCTAGAATATGATTGTCCATAATAAGAGGGAAAGCATTAATTTAGTGTTTTATCCAAACGCTCGACCATTTCAGAACCAATGACTGATAATTTTTTCCTCACTAGTTTATAAAGCTGCCTTTATCATAAATTATATTCTCTTTTATTTGAAACTTTTCCACTGATCTGAGTGTGTACCTATGCCAAGGATACCATACTCTTTTATTTTACTAAAGTTTTAGAGAAAATATTCATATTACTTGAGCTCCCCTTACCAATGTTATTTTAATGGATATAATAATTTAGTTCTCCCAAGTGAATTTTTGATTACTTGCCAATTTTTAAGTCCATTCACATTTTTATTACAATCCTGTTGAACCTATGAATGAATTTTGTTCACAGATTCTAGCCATGGCTAGATTTTTGCAATGAGAGGTAAGAAAATCTAAAAATTAAAAAAAATTAAGTTGTAATTTTTGCCACTGTAGCTCTCTATGTAGATATATTCAGGAAGTGTCTTACATTACATGTAGTAAAGGCCTTGCTACTTACTACTGAGTTCAAAATAATGATTTCACCTCTGCATGCTGGAGTCCACTTACCCAGCTTCACCTCCATGGTCTCATTCTTGGGATCCACAATCACAGGTCTGTTGGGCTTGTTTTCCTCTGAAAGAAAAACAGCGACGCGCTCAGTCTCCTACAGATCAAGACTGCAAGGACAATGACCCTTAGTAAAATACAGTCCATGGCTATGACCACGTGGCTGCTCCACTGCTCTGAGAATCTATAGCAAGAGACAGGAGACCAGCAGAGAAAGAAGGAGCTGGCAGAGGCGACAACAAACAGTGGACACCATGTGCAAAGCCAGACCTTCGAGCCTGCAGGGTGTGATGCTGTAGCACACAGTCGCGAGCGCACACACACACATGCACACGTGTGCACATGTGCACATGCGCACGCACCTCCGGGATCCTGTGTGAAGTCAGGAAGGTGATTAGCTGTGGTAGAACCTGTCAGTGCCAGACCTGCCTGGATTTGGTAACATTGGATTTAGTGACCCTGTGATGAAACAAAGAGGCTCACTGGCAAATGCCAAGCGCTTTGACGTCATTTACTAAAGTAGGCAAAAGGTCACCAAGAGCCCCAGAAATTAATCTGGGTCGTCTTTACAGGAAGGTCAGCCTCAAGGGTTGGCCTGTGGCCAAGAGGAACAGGAGAAATGGTGAAGTTGAACGCCTAATGAAAAAATAAACAAACTATGAAGACAGGCTATTATGTTTGTTCTTTCCTAATCTATACCTAGAACAGCTCCTGGCACACAATAGATGCTTAATAAATTTTTTTTTTAAATCTAGGAAGAAACAAAAAGCACTCAGGATCTTAGAGGTGGGCTTGGGGAGAAAAACAAAATATTCCCTTACCTTTGAGTGCATTTGTTTCTAAAAATTGGAATAAAAAAAAGAGAGTAGTCAAATTGCAATTGATCTACTCAAAAACCTGCCAACGCCCCGTTTTCCCTAGAGTTTCACCTCCTGGTCTGGCGGTTGTATCTCAAGGGAGAGGAACCAGAGCCACGCAGTAACCAGGACAGGTGCAGCAAACCCTAGAATAGTTGTGATCTAAAGGTCACCAAAACTTACGCTCACTGGTGCCCATAAGAGCAAGGCAGGGCATTAATAGTTATTCATTAAAATTAATCAATGAAAAATAAATTATCATGGCACTGGGAAAATATAGCTATATGGTGATCATATTCTGGATTTTCCAGGGATAGTCCCAATTTAAACATGTTCTCCTGGTATAATTATAATAGACACCCCTTCTACTTGCCAGAAAATTCCTAATTAGATGAACTCTTCTTATGTTATTTACAGCTGACATTTATAGAAAGGGTGAATATTCTGCCCATTCCAGACACTTTATGCAAGTGCATTTTGCTTCGTTGTGTTATAAATTTTTTTATAATATGAAACATGGTTAATACCAGATTGAAAACCTTGGCAAAAGTAAGAATCATCATCGTATGGCTATGAGTGACCCCAGTGTTTCACACCAAGTGCTGCTCTTAGCCAGGCGCACAACCACGTGCTGCTCACTCCCTCCACTCTGATCTTCCCTATAACCTGGGGAGGTCGTAGGACTCCTTAGAGAGGAGGAAACAACCGTACAGAGTTGAAGTGACTGAGGCGACGCAGTGCCAACAGGAGGTAGAATGTGGAGTGTAAGTCAGCCCAGAGCCCATCGCATCTGCCCGGTTCACGCCGAGGACTCTCGCTGGTGGACGTACCTTGCGAGCCCTCACAACATTCCCATGTACCAGCTAGAGCAGGCGCCTGAGTTCTAGGAAGGAGCATCTTAAGCCACATCAAAGAATAAGCCTACTAGAGCAGTTCAAACACATAGCTCAGGAAGTCTCTGTTTGATTAGCACTGCACGCAATGCAAGAATGAAAAATATTTACATTGTATGCAATAACAGAAAGCTAAACTAAGGCTTTGGGTGGTTGTGGAGCTTTCCTAGGATTTGGTTCCTCCACGGACTACAGAAGTCATCATGGAACCGTGTTCTCTGGGCTACACCAGATCTGAGTTCCTAGGGTTGGAGCCAGGACTCACCTAGAGTAAGGAACTCTATCGTCCGTGTGATTTCATATACCTTCCCCGAGTACGCGTACAGCGCGTGGCAGGTGTAGTTCCCTCTGTGCTCCTGAGCCACGTTCTTTATAAGGAGCGTATTCTGGATGCCAATGAACTTCGCATCATCCAGAAGTAAAGGTTTGCAGTCCTACAGAAGCGGGGAGAAGAGAAGCACAGGAAATCAACTCATGACTTTCCCCAATCTACTATTAACAAATCTGCATTTTTAAAAAGTGACTGAAAAGGTTCCTTGAATAAAATAAGTTTTAACTTATATTTCTTTAGCAGAGGCAAGGGGATCAAAGTTAATTATGCTCCTGTGATACTGAATTTTTATTCCCGGGACTCCGTGCTAAGAAGGAAAGTGAAGGCAACTTTATTTTGCAAGAAGAGGGTGCTTGAGGAAAACAATGCTCTAACACTGGTTTCTCATCAGTGCTGTACTTCTGTTCTTTACCGTTATTATATATTTTATATTTCCTAACCTCTGGATGATTCCCCATTCCAGTTCCAACATAAAAAAACTATTGTATTTGCTTGGAAAACTATACCATATTTAAAATAAAATTACCTTATACCACTCCACTTTGGGATACTCATTATTTTCATCTTTAAAAAAGTCCAAATGAGGACACACAAGTCTTCCATCTCCTGAAATGGGCAGTTTCTGCATAAATATAACTTGTGTGTTATAACACAAGTTAGGCTCATTCTCCACAAAATGTGCAGTTATTTTAAGTTTGAAACAGGAAGTTGAATTTCTAAAACAAAGTGGGAAAATTAAACATTACTAAATTTTTTTTTTTTTGTCCTTCACTACTGTAAGTACTTAGAACATGTGGGTATAATACATTAATTTCTTACCTTACAATGCAATAGTAATGTCCCGAATCCTCTACTTTAGCAGGGACAAACCAAAGCTTTCCTTTCTGCTGATTGATCCTGCAGTTCTGATCCGTACATACAGGTGTCTTGTCATCGTCTTTATACCAAATCACAGGACCTATGTTTTCATTTAAGTTAAGATTACAGGTACCAACAGCAATTTCATTTGCAGATGAAGTTAAAATTATTTGTTCTTCACGCTCAGTGCACTTATCTTTAAAGGGAAGAAAGGGGAAGCAATTTCTGTAAAACTTTTTCAACACTTCTAAATGTCACATCTACATATAAATACATTCGTGACTAAATATGTCGGTTCATACTATATATATGTAAAAGCTTTATAGACATGCTATAAAGAGCAACGTCTAGGGAGTCTAGAAGATTCACATTCAGTTCTGGCTGTGTCATCCATGAGCTGTACCCTTGGGCAAATCACTTAATCTCTTACCCTCTCTTTCTCCCTCTTTGTTCACACAAACATAGGATGAAAATAGGAGGAGAGTCACCCACTTCTGACTAAGATGGACAATGAGAACCAGATTTACCCTCCCGCCTGAGCAGCTGAAATGAAGTTGTGAAACAATACCATCAAAGACACTGGACATGGAGGAACAAAGGACGGCGAGAAGAGCCCAACAGTTGTCCTAGATTACTTCCCCAGTGGCTGCCCAGCTATGACACTGGGAAGGGGAAACAGGCAGAGTTGGGCGTCTGGCTTAGCACAGCCGGGTTGGGAACGTGAAGGGTCGGCAGGGCAAAGTGCCCGGGTGCTTAGTGCCGCACACGGACAGAGAGCTTGTAGGTACACAGACCGTCTCCTCGGGTTTGCAGCTGAGCAACAATCCACGCAAGAAAACTACCCATCGCTAGAGTGAGAACTGCACAAGGATGAGGGGGAATGATGTCTAGAACACGCATAACGCAGGGAACAGGTGCTGCTCCCAACAGCCCGAAGGGAAATCCTCCGTAAGCCCAGGGCAGCACGAAGAGCACCCAGGAAGGCTCTGCCGCGGAGCCAGCCAACCACGGCCTGAGAACGTGTGCCAAAATGAAGCTCTCCTGCTTTAAACTGCGGGTGCTGGGTGTTTCGTCCTGATGAGAAAGTGCCTAAGACACCCAGTACCACAGAAAAAGAAAAGAAAACAAAGAAAAGAAGACTGATGTTTTTCAAAATAAAAGGTTTGCAACAATCAAAAGAACATTTATTTTTGAAAAACAAACAAAATCCGCTGAATCGAAGTAGAACAGCAGGGTGGATGGTTTTTTATATTCAACTATTCCTATGCCTCATAGCCAGTCATCAAATCCAGAAGCTTAGCAAACACAGTGGCTATTAAAACCAGCAGCTTTACAAGGACAGATGAGGTTTGGTGTTCCTCAGAAAGTCTCACTCCTGGGCATTACACTCCTGAACCTGACCAGTAGCTCCTGGAAGTGATAATCACCAAACTGTGCTGCTGACCTGACTCAGAGCCGCACAGGAAAAGCCCTATCCACAGGGACGTGGCCACAGTCCATAGCTGACTTCAGAACTCTTACACCGTCCTGGGGCCCAGCAGGGCAGGTCACACCCTCAGAACAGCAGTGCAGGCACCATCTCTTGCATCTAAATAACCCTGAGGTCCCATGCAAGTGTAAAGTAGAGGCGAGGCAGATTTGTCCATAGCCTAAGTGCCAAAAGCACACCACAGACACCCACAGCTTCCCAGCAAGGGACACAAAACCATGGAATTTGAGAAAAACTTTGGATGATCATGAGATGACCACTACATTAACCCAGCAGTGACTTCAGGGGTGACACAGTAAAGGAAACATAGGCTACACAAGATTAGCCCAGGAAAGCAGTGACATAAATGAACAAAAGCAGCAGGAACACAGCAGTGTAAAAATCAACAGTAACAACCAAGCTTGGGTGTGTATAGAAGGAAATGTGATTCCTAGAGTCAAACTTTACTCTACCAAAAATGTCCAGGTTTCAACAAAATATCACAAAACATAAAAAGAAATAGGAAAGTATGGTCCATACTACAGGGGAAAAAGTTGCCAACAGAAATTGCTCCAGAGGAAGACTTTAAATGGCTATTAAAAATATGTCTTAACTACTGAAAAAAAAAAAACACTACGTCTAAAGAATTCTTGACTTACCAAGGAGAGTGTCAATGAAAAAGACAGAAATCACCAGAGAGAACCAATTAGAAATTGTGGAGTGGAAAATTGCAATAAGTAAAGTGAAAATGTCACTAAAGGAGCTCAACAGCAGATGTGAGGTAGAGAAGAAAGAAACTTCTGGTGGACTTGAAGTTTATTGAAAGACTACCAACCTTAAAATAAGAACACAAAGTAGAAATTCAGAGAACTGCAGTGCTGCATGGAATCTACCAACAGATTAAGACACGGATGGGAGTTCCAGGAAGCAGGGTGGGGAGGATCAGCAAAAATACCTGAAGAAATTGTGTCCAAATATTTCCCAAATTTGATGAAAACATTAATCTACCCATCCAAGAAACTCAAAGAACTGCAAGTAGGATTAACTAAAAGAAATATACCTGTATGTGCATCACAATGAAATTGTAGAAAGACAGAGTCTGAAACAGAGCAAGAGATAAGAGTCTCATAACACACAGGGGGTCTTCAATAAGACTGACATGTGCCTTTCAGAGCCCACGGAGCCCAGAGGCACACTGACCACGCTGAACATAGACAGTCAATAAAGAACTCTGTAGCTGGCAAAACCATCCAAAACTGAAGACGAAATAAAGACAGATAAACCAAAACTAAGACAGTTCTTCATAAACAGACCTGCTCTACCAAAAAATAAATTGACTGAAGAGTCCTTTAAATTGAAACAAAGAGTCTAAACCAGGCATAGTGGCATACCCCTGCAATCCTAGAACTTGGGAGGCTGAGGCAGGAGGATCACTGCAAGTCTGAGGCCAGCCTCGGCTACATAGAGCATTCCAGACCAGCCTGAACTAACGAGAGTTCAAAAAGGTGTGAGGGGGAATAAAAGAACCAGACAATAACTCAAATCTACATAAAGAAATAAATAACATAAGTAAACAAAACTATGTAAGTAAATACGTTCTAAAATACATAGGTAGTTTTTGTTTCTATCTTCTTTTTCAGATAGTTTTAAAAACTGCATAAAAATGACTGTAAGCCAATAAACAGGAATGACAGGCCTAAACATAAAAATATCAAAACTCTAGAAGGAAACAAGAAAATTTTTGTGGCCTAGGATCAGACATAGGATTTTAGAAACAATATCAAAAACACAATCCGGACAGGAAATGAAAAAATAAATTAGACTTCATCACAGTTAAGAAGTCTGTCTTTTCTAAAAGTGCCATAAGAAAATGAAAAGACCAACTTCAGACTAAAACACAATATTTAAAAATCATGTAATGATAAAGGTCTTGCATTGAGAATACATAAAGAATTCTAAAAAGTCAATAAAAGCCATGTGCGGTGGTACACACCAGTAACCCTAGCACACCAGAAGGCTGAGGCAGGAGGACTGCAAGTTCAAACTCAGGCTGGGCAGCTAAGTGACATGGCAAGACCCTGTCTCAAAACAAACAAAAAGTTCTGGGAATGTAGCTCAGTGAGAAGGGCCTGGGTTCAATACTCAGTAGCATTAAAAACAAAAGAAAATCAAATATAAAACTCAATAAAACAAGCAACAATTTAATAAACTGGGCAATGATCTGGACATTTCTCTACGAAGACATATGGATGGCAAATAACCACACAAAATAAGCTCAATATCATTAGCAGAATTGAAATTAAAACCATAATCATGTATCAGCACACACCCATTGGAAGGATTACAATGGAAAAAGATTGGCTCCAGCAACTGTTGGTGAGGCTGTGGAGGAACTGGAACTCTCTGTCGCTGCTGAAGATGCCCAGAGATACGGTGATTCAATTTTATCAACCTCTGCTATTTTCTCAAAAAGTTACCTACGCACCCCCTAAATGACCAAACAGCTCCATTCCTGGGTATCCGCCCAAAGGAACGAAAACATACATCTATTCAAAGACTTGTACACCAATACGCACAACACCTTTATTTTAATTGCCAAACTTGAGATAGTCAAAATGTCTGTGAATGGATCAATATATATACACATACACTAGAATATTGCTATGTAATAAAACAAGAGACTGAATACATAGAAAGAAATTAGATCCCTCCCTCTCAAAAAGAGGACATACTGTATAATCCCATTTCTTTCGATTCTAGAGAACACAAACCAAAACTGGCCCAAGGTCAGAGTCCTGGTTGCCTGGGTGCGAGGGGTGGGGAGCGGTGGGAAGGGGGGATCTTAAAGGGGCAAAAGGAAAGTAGAGAGTGCTGGGATGGGCGTGCCTGCTGCTATGACCATGGTGACAGCTGCAAGACATCCGTACGATCAACATTCCACCTCAAACCTGCTCAACAGCAGGAGCGCAAGCAAAGGGCTGGGAACTTAGACGGTGCCCCGGTCAGCTCCGGACTCCTAAAGTTCAGTGGCCAGAAGGAGGCTCAGCAACAGGGGCGGTGAAAAGCATAGTGAATGCTGGGTAAGTCCTCAGTTAGACCTTCTCTCCGTGTGTCTGAGGTTTGACCCACGCCACCGGAAGTGTTCTGACCAAGGTCACCCAGGACAGGCAGTGTGGTCCGTCAGCAAAACAACTCTCAGATATCATCTTGGCTGGCATGTCTCTATCTGACAGGTCCAGAGGAGCACCCAGCACCCTTGAAATCCTCCCTCACGCAGCCTTCAGGACGTGCCTGGGCCTCGGCTTCCATCTCCTCCGGGCTCTCAGTGGACGCCTGACCACCAAACCTTGCAGGGGGCTCAAGCTCGGACCTTAAAGTCGGCACCTTTCCAGCCTACACTCAGTGGCCACGGTCGGCCTCACGATTCTCCCTGCCAGCCGCTTGCTGGGGCCTCCCGTTGTATGAGTGTAGATATCCAAGGGGCAGCTGGACTTGACCGTCCACCGCAACGTCTGCCCTGCCCCCACCCCATCAGCGGCAACATCGCCTTGGGTCTGCGCAGGCAAAGCCTGGGAGTCATCCTCAGCTCTTCCCTTCCCTCACGCTTCACAGCCTGGCCAGCTACAAATCCCCACGGGCTCCGTGCTCATGGTCCAGCCCAAACCTGACCACTTCTCCTTTCTCCTTCCTAGCCACCTGTGGACAAGTCGTCACCATTTCCTGCCCAGAATGGGTCACTGTTGCTACGTGCACGAGTTTTCCAAGAGCTTCTGAACAGGCATCTGTTTCTGCCCTCGCCTTCCTAGACCCTGTTCTCAAAGCAGGAACCCCAAGGAGCCTGTGTGTGGGAGCAGAAGTCAGACCTCCTCTCTGGTTTTGAACAAAGAAGCTCTGCAGCTTTCTCATCTGAGTCAGGACAGAAGCCAAGATCCTTAGAAAGTTCCACAAGGTCCTACACATGCCCTCCACCGCCACCAGCCTTGCCAGCAGCTTAGTTCCTGGAACTTCCCGGGTGTGCTGGCCTCAGGGCCTTTGCACTTGCTCTTTATGATACCTCCCCCAACCTGGGACACGGGCTTCCCCCTCCTCCTGCTTCAGGCTCAATTCAAAAGGCAACTTTTCACTGAGGCCACACTATCAAAAATTTTATCTTCTGTGTACTCCAATCCCAAACTGTGTACTTTGCTTTCCAGTTGCTTTTCTCCTTAAGCTCATCACTGCAAGACAGAAAATCTCTTCACTTAGGGAATGGGTTCTGTCTCCCCCACAGGAATGTAAACACCAGCAGGCAGAATCTCTGCCTGGGTTCCTGACTGCTATGCTCCCCACACCCAGGACCTGGCACAAGGCCTGGGAACCCAGGATTTGTAGTAAGGGGAGGAGAAGGGAGAAAAAAATGAAGACACAAAGAGAACAAAACTGTGCCCTAAACGGTTCTAGCTGTGGGTTCACCGACTGCATACACGCTGACAATAAAGAGGGAAGAGTCCAGAAACAACCTCGGCGATCCAGACCTGAGCCCGAGCTCTGAACTAGTAGATGACCCTGGTTCTGGACCTTGCGGTCCTCAGATGCTAAAGGAGCCTCCAGCCACGCGGTTCTGTGACCAGGAGGCTCTGCATCCTGGGATCAGCAGAGCCTGGTGAGAGAAGCAACCCCGCCGGGACGGTGTTTGCTGTGCTCTGAACCACAGCTCTTCTCAGTAGACGAGATGTGCAACTCACCGGCCTTCAAGGACATCAGCAGCGCCATGAAATGGACAGCTCCGAGTGACACTTTCATATTCTCCTAGGGAAACAGAAAGAAGACAACATTACTATCCCAGCCGACCTCTCCAGCGGCACACACACGCCGGCTCCCAGCACACCAGCTCCCATCCGTCCTCATCCACCATCCTGCAACCATGCGGCAGCTCTGGTCAGAAGATGGGGGGCGGGGAGGAGTGTAATTTTCAACAGAATCAAGGACAATTCAGCCGCTTAAGACTTAGACCATTCCCATCCTCTGCCTAGTACACAGTTGTAGACTCACACCCTCAGTTCCCCCACATGTAGTCTACACCAATGCAGACTGCCGGACACACCTTTCTGGGGCCTTTTATACTTTCCCCAATGTCTAGAATAAGCAGGTAGGAAGCTTTTCACAAAGTAGACTCTGCCAGCCTCCCTCACCCATGGGCTCCATATCTGCAGATTCAACCCAACTGCAGAGCTGAAATATCTGAGAAAAAAAATTACTTCTGTTGTGAACGTATGAGAACTTTTTTTGGTCATTATTCCCTAAATAATACAGTAAAACACCATCGTGCACGCAGCATTTACATTATATTAAGTATTCCAGGGACCTAGAGGTGTCGTAGAGTACGGGAAGACGTGTGCAGGCTGTGTGTGGATACTACCCCATCTGATATAAGGAAACTGAGCTCTGAGCATTGTGGCAAGTGTGGGGCTCCTGGGACGGAAGCCACGTCCATACCAAGGGGCTGCTGTGTTTGTTAGACCTGAAGGAGCCTGCCTCTGCCCGTGTGGCCTGCTCTCCCGTTTGGAGCACCCCCTACTGGCCAGGAACCCTTGCAAACATCTTCCCGTACATCTAGATCCTGCCTTCTTCTTATCATACAAGATCCTAAATTGTTTGCACAGTATAATACTGTTACCCTCTAAGAATATAAATAAAAGGGAGTTGGCCCTTGTGGTTGGATGGGTTCACCCTTTCCTGGGGCTTTTTAGACTTTTCCAAACATCCGGAATAAGCAGGCATGAGTTTCCTCACCAGGGAAAGGCTCCACCGCCCCTCCAAAAGGAAAACTCTCGGAGTGTTCCTGTTTCATGCCCCGCAACGGGACCTGCCCGGAACATACAGAAAGTTGCAGCCTCAAATGTTTACCTAGCTTTTGCACAAATCCACTCAAGGCCCACAAGTACCTCAAACTCAACGGGACCCAAACCCTGAACTCATTCTCACCCCTAGAAGGCGACATTCGCCAGTGGTGTTCCCCAGTTGGTGACAAGCACAGCTCCACACCTACGGGGCAGGCACCCAAAGGAGACCCGGACTGAGGGTCCTGCAGCTGCCACCGCTTGGCCACCCCTCCCCAAGCACTAAGCCATCTGCGTCCTTGGGCCACCACACCCACCCAGAACCCCACAGCCGCTGCTGGTGCCACTGCACACCGCCACCTCCAGCTCCTGCCCGCTCCCTCGTGGGCCCAGGACCCGAGCTCTCTCTGTGCGTGGATTTACAATCCAGGGAGCCTCGAGCTGCGTCACCAAGTGATTCGAGGGAAGCAGCTGCTCCCCCCGTGTGCCCAGCTGTGCCAGCTCCTAGTGAAGCCCGTGGGTGTCCTGTACTAGGCTCTCCCGCCCCTCCACCCTCAGCACTCTCAGCCTCTCACCTCTGCTACCTTCACCCTCCACCCGCCCTCCAGGGCCCCTCCTCTCTACCAGGGGCTCCAGCCACTGCCCGTCTGGGGCCCCAGCAGGCCCTGAGCCTGGCCCTGCACTCACGCAGAGCAGGAACCTCGGCACGCAGGACCCAAGCTGCTCTCTGTCCCGCAGCATTTGGTTCTGTGCTTGGAACCCAGAGGTTCTTAACAAAGTCTCGTGGGATGGATGGGGGGAGAAAAGAATAAAAGAAACAGCTACGTCTCCACCCAACCTTGGGACCACGTCCCTAGTGGGCCAGAACTCCAGGATTCGGACCACAACGCTGTGCTCAAAAAGACAATCTGCCTTTTGATTTTTACAGGACATTAAATTTATCTGTATGTTTATATGTGACCACGTAAGTGACCATGAGGACACAAAGACGACGCTCCTTCAGATCACAAATGTGTGATTATTTCACTATTGGCTGGAAAACGTTCAATTTAAGAAACTGCATGAAAAAGTATGAACATGCTACAAGATGGTTGTCTGTTTGTTTGTTTGGTACCAGGAATTAAACACAGCGCCTGGTGCTTGTCAGGCAGGCACTAAGCCGCCGACCTACATTCCCGGCCCTATAAGATGTTTTTAAACGAATAATGAGGAAAAGCTTTTGCTTTTGTTTTTGTTTTTTGTTTCTGGAGATAAACCCAGGGCCCTCATACTGAGCTATTCCCCCAGTCCTTTCAATTTATTTTTTATCTTGAGACAGGGTCTTCCTAAGTCACTAACTTGTCCAGGCTGCGCTCAAATTTTTGATCCTCCTGGCTCAGCCTCCTCCAAGATACCTTAAGCACTGGAGAGACCTCCATCCATATTCCTGTCACTTTCTGCCCAGTGTCAGGGCAAGAACCCCGAAGCCCAGGCCAAGCCTGCATCCCTGCCTGGAAGCCTGACCCCTTCAACAACCCACAACCCTCACACTGGTTCCAGTCAGGGCCTTCGCCCCAGCTGGACCAGACTGATAACTGTTAGTGCATTTACTCGGAGCCATATCCAAAGTGTGGGATGAGACAGAAGGTGTGGAAGCCTGGCTTATTTCCTCTGCCTGCCTTCCACCTCCACCTGGCTTATTTCCTCCGCCTGCCTTTAGAACAGGGAGGAAGGGAAGAAAGGGTTAAAGTACTTCCGGATTACAGAGGTCCTGGCCACCACCCACTCCGGCCTGCCAATCCACAGCAAGGCAGGTGGTGATGAAATCGGCCGGCGCAGCTCTCTGTGAGGTGCACCAAGGGCAAGACGAGGCCTGCTCCGAGGAAGGGGCCTGCCTGGGAAAGGAGGCGGTGCAAGGGCTGCTGCAGAGGGCACGCCCTGGGCGGACCCAGACCAAGGACAGAGGCCAAGGCCAGGGCGTCCCTACGGGGCAGTGGGGTCTCGGCCAGGACCCCCCCCCCGCCCTCAGTTTCCCCCCCAGACCACTTCCCGCTCGAGCAGCCTACGGAACAGGAGTCACAGCTGCCTGGAAAAAATCAGGAGGGAGAAGCAACCCCTTCTCCTAGCAGCAGCCTTTGTGGACGTTTTGTTTTGTTTTTCAGTTTTTGTTTTTCTTAGTACATGTTCACATCCATCGGGATCTCCCTCCCCGTGCGGCATTCCGCATCCCCTTCCCTTCCTCTCCCTTTCCACTTGCAAAAGAGCTCTCTCCCTGCTTCCTGGTATCTGTCTTTTACTTTGTCCTTTATTTATACTTTGAGTTTCCTCATGTAAGAGAAACCGTTTAAGCTTGTGTGTCTGCTTTATTTTACTTAACATTATGGTCTCAAGGTGCAACCACGTCCCTACAGATGACTCAAGTTTGTCTTACACAGCAGACTGGTGCTCCATGGTGCATAAATACCACATTTTATTTAGCCATCCATCCGTAGGTGGATGTCTGGGTGACTTCCAAGACTTAGCTACCATGAATTGTAGCAGCAGCCTTTCTGGATCAGGATCTGTGCCCGGAACCCTCAGGGAGGGGGTCAGGCCTGAGCTGGAGATGGGCATGAAGGCCGCAGTCCCTCAGGGAGGGAGGACGGCAGAAAGGGGAGGTGAAGAATGCACTGAGATGAAACCCAAAGGGCTCCCCCTACAACCCAACATGAATCCCACCATGGCCTCACATAACCCAAGATTTCCAACGTGAAGCCAGCCCCACCCAGCCCTCAAGCGCCAGGAGCTGAAAGACCATCCAAATCAGGAAGTCCCCAACAAGGACATTGCGTGCTTGAAAGCTCAGCCCCTGGGCCTCAGTTTCCCAAGTGATAAAGTGGGTATGACCACGGCGCTGTCTCTGACGGTTGCTATGGGAATGAAATACGTGAAGCGCTTAGAACCTGCAGTGTCTGGTCCACCCGTGTGGTGACCCAGGCCTAGCATGAGGGTCAGAGGGACATGAGAAGGACAGTCCAGCGAGGAAGTCCCCCGTGCTGGCTGGACAGGCCCACACACACAGCCTGGGTGAGGGGCTGGGCAGTCATCCCCAGCAGAAATCGGGAATCTGGTCCTGGGTGCAGGAGAAGTGGACGGGGCAGCACAGTCGGGATGTGCTGGGGTCAGGCGTGCCCTGAGCCCGCCTTGGGGACCCCGATTCATAAGCCGCAGCAGCAGCAGCAGCAGCAGCGATCCTGGGACCCAGCGCCGCAGACTCCCTCACCAGTCTGATCAACCCTCCCTCGGTCCGGCCCCTCCCTTCCTAGTCTACGGACCGTCCCCACCCCCTCTTCCCTGGCTTCAGCCCCTTCAGCTCCCCTGGGGGACTAAGATCATGGGGTACTTCTCTTTCTCTCTACCAGGGTTCTTGCCCTTGGCAACCTGCGCTCTGGCTCTGTGCCCGTGGCCTTCACAGGACAGGACCCCACAAAGAGGCACAGATGCCAGGTGTCAACTTAAAACAAGAATAAATCTGAACCAGGTGTCAATTTAAAACAAGAATAAATCTGATTAAACCACAGAGCTGCCCCCAAGGAAAGATATGCCACCAAATACCAAATATTTCGTCCTACGGTGGGAGACGTCTCATCTGGAGTTGAGTATGGGGGCGCCAGCTGCTGATGAGACAGGTGCGGGCTCAGGGGACCTGGCCCCGTGTCCTGTGCCAGGGTCCTGCTTCTCAGAAGGGTGTCACCATCCTTAGGGGCCACGTCCACCTGGAAAGGAGGAGCACAGGGTGAGGTTGGATGGCCGGGCCGCATGTCCCCCACACCTGTTAGGACCCCAAGAAGGTGGGGAGGGTCGGACACGCTCACTGACATGAGCCTGAAGCATCAAAGGCCCACACCCCACAGTCCTTTAGGACAGAGCACTTTTGGGAAATCAAGTCACAAGCATGGAGAATCTGAAGAGCTTGACAACCACCAGCTATGTTGGCTTCCACACGTGCCCCCATCACTTGGCCAGAGTCAACTCAAAATGACTCCAGCTCATTGAAAACAGAACTTCGGCTACGGCAGAAGCCAGAACAAAAGAACAGGACCCTTCTGAATTTGCTTTCTGAGTCCTAGCTCTCTCTCCTGCCGTGCCTACGAACACACCTGTGCCGTGTGAAGTGATTTAAGACGACCTGCACACAGCCCGCAGCCCTGCCCCGCCGCAGAGCATGCACACCCCATCATTATTCCTGCGTGTTTGCAGCTTTCTTCCAGGGTCTGGAGTGCAGCATTCCTCACACCTGAGTCACTTCCTCAGGCCAATTACATGCTGGCCAGGCAGCTGCAGGGAACCTGGCGATGCCCAGCAGGAGGCTGACTCAGGACAAAGCGTGGCTTGGCCTCGGCCCCTAAACCCAGCCTGCTCTTCACTCCGCCCTTGCCCATCCCTGGAGACAGAGCCGGAAGGAGGCCTGGCAGGGAGGTAATCAGGCTCCCCAGCTCCCCAACAGCCATCACGTGGCAGCAGGAGTCCCCAGCCCAGAAGGGTGCCTTCCTGGTCCCCAGGAGGGGGCTCCTTCTGGGAGGGGATCCCAGAGAGGAGGGTGGGGTGAGAACAGCAGGGGAGTGGGAGGACGGTGAGGGGTGAGGGGTGAGGGGTGAGGGGTGGCTTTCTCCGGATCAGGGCAGCTCTCACACAGACAGCGACTCCCCTTGGCCCCAACCCCCGTCTCTGTAGAAACAGGAGGACGGCAAGTTCAAGTCCAGCCTGGGCAACTTAACAGCTCAGTGAGACCCATCTCAAAGTAAAAAGTACAAAGGGCTGGACCTGGAGCCCCGTGCAAAGGCCCTGGGCTCAATCCCCAGTGCACACAGAACAACTTCCCTTAAGAATTTCTTAAGCACCATCCGCACTGCTCACTCATCTCTGAAGCACACCGCTGTCGCCTCCTGCACCCACTGCTGCTGCCCGCGCCTCCCCCGCCCGGTCCAGCCACCTAACTGGAGCCCTGCAGCACCTGGCTGGGGGAGAAGGGTCCCACCGGGGCCGTGAGCGTAGCCACCCTGCTCCTGTGCCGCCTTGGGTCAGCTCTCCCAGACAGCTTCCAGTGGCGCCTGAGACTCCAACCTGCTCTGAGCCAGTCCTGAGCAGAAGCTTCTCCCGGAGCCCCTGCAGACACCCTTGGTCTGCAAGCACACGGGGTCTCCAGGTGCAGTGCACAAGGGCCTTACTTCCAGCTCTGTGACCCCAGGCCACTGTGGTGCCGGGGAAGGCCAGGGGGCAGGCAGACCCTCCCCTCTCCCAGTCCCTGCTGGGGCTCATCCTCCACATCTCGGGGTGGCGGAGCGCAGCGCATTCCCTGGGAGACAGGAGAAGAAGGGAACCCAACACCCACCTGCAAATCAAGGGGAAGGAATGGGGCTCCAGGGTGTGGGTCAGGCAGCAGGAATGCAAAGGCGCCATGCTGGGGTGTGGAGCTGACTGAAGGGACAGGAGAAGGTGGAATCCTGCCCAGAAAGGGTCAGGGGAGGGGGCAACAGCTGGAGGCTGAGGCAGGAGGCGGCGGCAGACAATGCAGGGCAAAGGAAGACACCTCATTCCGAGGCAACTGACCTGGTGGGTTTTTGAAAAATGCCTGAGAGTAAAATTCAAATTATTCCTTTAGGAAATAGCAGCAACAATAAAAAGTCCTGGATTCAGCCCCTTGTGCTATTTTTCAGACTTAAGTTTTCCTGTAAAACAGAACAATGAAGGAACGAAGGATGATGTGCCAGTCAGAAGGCTACCACATCCTCCTCCCTTTCCTCCCTTAGGCTCAACGATGCCTGCACAGGCTTCACACAAGCTGGGTGCCCCTGAGACGCTGACGCCCAGCCTCTGGGACAGCGGGCAGGGGTCTGCCACCCCCAACCCCAGCAGGGCTGTCCCCCACTGCAGCACTCTCCAACTTTATGTGGCAGCACATGACAAAGCCAGCAGTGTGCAGAGGCCCCAGTCAGGGACCCCGTGGTGCTCTGGCAGTCAGGACCCACCCCAGAACATGCGTGTGTCACATCGTGATGGCAGTGTCACACGGAAACACAGAGCCACCACTTATTAAAGTGACATCGTGCATTTGCGGGACCCAGCGTTCTCTGACTTGCTGTGGCTTGCATGTGATGTCCCCTTCGAAACTCATGTTGATATCTCACTGCCACCGTGGCAGTGTTGGGGGCCAATGGCTTTGGGGTGTTCAAGATGAATGCTACTCTACAAGACTGGGTCAGTTCTCGCCGGTTGAAGGTGCTCACTCTTGTGGAACTGGATTAGCAACCGTGGCCGTGCGTTTGTCTCCTCCACATGCCCTCGCCTGCCCTTCCGCGTATCTGCCCTGATGAGGTATCACAAGCCCTCACCAGATGCACACACCTGGTCCTCAACGTCAGCCTCCAGAGCTGGGGTCCTGATAAACTCCTATTGTTTATAAATTACCCATTCTGAGGTAGTCCGTTACAGCCACGAAAACAGACTAAGACACAACAGGATTAGAATGAGAAATTTAAACAGGAACTAAGTTACACAACCAGAAATTAAGCAAAAGAATTAACAGTGAACATATGGAGCCCCAGAAATCCCCTCCTTCCCAAGGGCTGACTTCATCCCAACACTGCCTCCTTGTCCAGTGCAGGCTCCAGCGCCTGGGATGACACCTCCAATGCATGGACTCATAAAAGTAAGCAAATAGAACTAAAAGGTAAATGAAATGGAAAATAACAATAAAAATTTTTAATGTCAAAAAGAGAAAAATGATCCGCAGAGTTATTAACCAGCCTCAACACACAGACCAAATATGTCAGCTTGAAAGATGAGGCTAAAAGAAACTTATAAAGCCACAAAGCCACATGCTTGTAAATGAGAATGCTATACTTCCACAAGTCCTTATTTCTTAAACCAGAATCCACACATTGCCTGTGACCGACAGGGAACCCAGAGTCCATCCTCCCGGGGCACTGATTTTGCCCAAGGAGTTCTGAAGGGGGCATTATTTTTATGTTAGAACAAATAAGGCTAGATTTTAAAGTGGGAAGAAAAAATCGACATCTTTTTGGATAAAACAGGAGACATCATAAAACAGGAGACATCAAAGAACTATCCCACAAGGTGAGCTCCTGGAGGTGCTAGGCTGAGTACTCCTCTTCATTTCTTAAGAGTCCTCACATAGTAAAATCCAAGAAGGTCCAGCCTAAGTAAAGGCCCATGGTCGTCACTGTACAACCTTGGTCAGAAGACCAGGAAATAACAGAACTCATCCCCACTGGGCAAGACATACAGGGCAACCTAACCCTGACTGCCACACTGTCCATCCAGGGCATCTATCAAGGTTGCCCAGGTTTAAGGTGCAGAAGGTAGAAATGACCACAGAAGAGTCTGGTCACCACCATGACATTCTGAGTGTGATGAAGCATGAAAGAGAAACAGCCCACCCTGTAGAGACAAGTAACACAGGAGTCTAACAACCCAGCTATACGTGCAACATGGTAGCCACTGAGAAAGAGCTTTATAAAGCCATCCACAAGCAAAATCACTGCCAAGAAGGGAACAAAAGAAACCACTGATTATCTTGGAAAGTCTGAGAAACACCAGGACTTGACCACCTTCCTATCAGGAGATGACTCTACTTCATATCACACTGATTTGGTTTATTTGCTCACACATAAGGGATAAGGAGAATTTTTTTATGATCAATGACACATAAAGATATGAAGAGATGATAAGCATTGCCAGAGAGGTTTCAGGTATCCTAAATACTCAGCTATCACAAACCTCAAAGCCACAAGATTAGAGACATCAACCAAGGCACATGAGTTTTAAGGGCAAAGCGGGAAATGAGCAGTGACACGTGGTTAGATGCCACAAACAGGAAAGGGCCAAAGCCTTCAGTCAGCTGAGAGAACTCAGACTCTCAGGCTGGGATCTACAGACAGAGACCAGGAGGCCGGAGCACTCCTCACAGCAACGTTCACATTTGCCCCCTTGAATAGGTTTTGTTAAGGTAAATAGGAGGGAATAATTCCACATGTGGTGTGGTTGAAAACTATGATGAAGATTACCAATGTTTAGTAAATGTCAAAAAATGTATTACAGTAAAAGACACACTGCCACGAATCCCCCTCAGAGCATTCCCTGGCATTTCACACACACTTACCCATCATTCACCACTTCCTGAAGCCGGAAGTTCTCTTCTGCGACGGTCTCTGGTTTCACCGCCACGGCTGCCATGATGTCCGAATGGATTCAAAACACTTACCTTTCATGGCCACTTTGACTCTGGGGAAGAGCCAGAACTTCACAGTGCTAGGTTTGGTGAATAAGGCGGATGAGGACACACTATCATTTTTATCTAACAGAAATTACCGTAAACATTTTTAATTGATTCAGGCCATTGCAGCAGCTGTGAAAAGGCCCTCCAAAAGAGGACTTCCAAAAGTACTTCAAAAAGTGGCAAGAATGATGGCACACACGAACTCACAATGAGGAGGATTTTGAGGGGGATTCGAGGCAATGTGTCTTTTGCTGTAACAATTTTTTAATTTAAACATTAACCATATATTCTGGTCACACCCCATAAAGTGAGACAATTGTATACACCAGGAATATTCTATCAGGATTTCTGTCCAGGTCTCTGGAAGGGGTCAGAGACCTAGTGGGGACATTTCTGTCCCCACTGAAGTACCCTCGTGCCCCACACAGTCACCCCTGTTGGCAGGATCCACTGCTCTGATTTCTATGCCACCTCTACCATGGATCCTCTAAGCATGACCCTCAGAGCACCAGATGGCTGGATTCTACCCTACCTGCTAGGGCCCTGCTGTGTCCACACCACATCTGCATGAGCCCGTGCCTTTAGCTGCCCACTACTGGGTCATGCCGAGAAGGAGGTTGGGAGGTTGTCCTTAACAGGTGAGCATGGTCCCTAAAGGAACATTTCAGAAACTACGGGGAAATAGACCCTAGGATCACAATTTGTTTGGTGAGTGATGGAGGCCATGGGTGTGCGACATCTAGAACAACACCAGACAGTTCTGCTCACACTGGTCCCTGTTGTCCCACATGACTCCCTGCTGTTTTTGCCGACATCCATGCCAACAGGAAAACATATTTATAGTGTTTGGAGCTCAGTCCCTAACTCCATTCCACATTTACATATGATGCATGTGACTGCCACAAGGTCCACATTCTGAATTTTTTAAGAATGCAACCACTGTGCTGAGAGAGGGCTGCCCTTTGACCACCACTCGGACCTGCGGCCAATCCACGTAAGGTATCAGGTGACCTTGAGAAGTTCTAGCCTAGCTCTGCCCAAGCATCTCCACCCTCAGATATATCACCTTAATACAGAAGGCTCCTGTCTCTTCTTTGTATCTAGATACTATGCTGAGTTTTAAAAATTATGTTGTGAATTTTATTACATCATTTCACAATTATAAACAAAGTGTTTTGAAATACTTGCATGCAGAGGAAGGAGCTGGGTTTTCACAGGGGTGGAAGTGGCGGTACCCAACTTTCTCTGACCTTTTGGTCAGGAGTCTCTTCCACACGCCCAGCCTCCCTTAGTCCTCAGGTGTGGCAAGCCAGGCGTGCAGGCTGCCCGACTCCTCCTGTCGGCACCCGCTTTGCTGCACTTACGGAACCTTATCATGGTGCTGACCCCTTCCAGAGACCGAGTAAAACTCGTTCTTCCGCCTCTTTAATGAAGACCTTGGGAGAAAATTGCCACTTGACTTCATATCAACAATGCTTCTATTTCCCTGGAGCATTTCACTTTCGTCCTGCAGACAGTGACAGCTAGGACCTCCCAGGATCTGTCTCCTGCTGCTTGCAAGAAAGCTACTTGTGGTGTCCACCTTATCTGCAAGTTAGACTCACCTGGGGTCTTTAAGGACACGCACGCCTGGCCGCCATACAGTGCTAGCCTCTCTGCTCAGAGCGCACCCAGCAGCACCGCAGTGGCGGGCAGGGCTGGGACAGCGACTTTCCTCTGCCTTTGCCGCCCACCTGGGCAACTTCACAGGAGTCTAAGTCACGGGGCTTTACACAGTATGCTTTTCTAGCTCCATTTCCGCTCCCCTTCATCACCTCTTGGTTTTCTTTCCTCCTTTTCGTCTAAGGCATCTTGTAAATCCTGTCTGAGACAGGCAGGAATGCCAAGGTGTGCCCGCTGCACCGCACACGTGTGGCCATAGACACGCATCAGGAGGAGACAGCGCAGAAGCCCAGGTGTGCAGGTGACCAGGGACACTGAGGAAGCCCATGTCCTCCAACCCTGGTGAGCTCCCTGGGCCCTGGGTCTCTCGGCACACGTGTTGGGCGTGGCAGGAGACCGCATTTCCTGGGGCCATGGCAGGCGATCAGAGGACAAAGCTGCTGGCGCTGCAGATCCTCAGCCTGCACCACCAGCCTCCTAACTACCCTGGAGGAGAGGAAAGCTCAAAGCAGGCAGCCAATGAGGAGCATCCCACGTGCCCTGACAGCTTCTCTCCTCTGAAGAGGCAATGGTCCAGCTTCGGACCAGTGGTCCCTCCTCTGACTAAGGAGATGCTGCCTTCATAGCTTCTCGGCTTGCAAGTGCACAAACGCCCCTCCCGCCAATGCATCCAGACGCAGGCTCTCTTCCCACCTGCACAGCAGGAGCTCGTCCACAAGAGTGCAGGGATTTCCATTCGTTCTATTCCTTCCTCCCTCCCCACACTTG